CCGACCAGCTCCCTCCTGCCCCCTCCCCACTGGGGATGTGCCCGCAACCCAGGCACATGCCCTTGACCGGAAGCCACCCGGGGTCCCCCCAGCCCGCAGGCCGACGCTCTATCCACTGAGCCACACCGGTCAGGGCCCTTCTGGCCCTTTTCATGCAGCTCCCCATGTTGTTGGGACCCCCAACCATAACATTATTCCCGTGGCTACTTCATACCTGTAATGTTGCTACTGTTATGGATCGTCATGTAGATATCTGATCTGCAGGATGTATTTTCAGGGGTCGCGACCCACAGGTTGAGAACCCCCGCGAGGAGTCAGATTGCCCAGGAGTCAGCACCAGGCCTGGGGCTGGGACCCTGGCGTCCCCCGGGGCGGGGCGGTTGTGCCTGGGGGTCTCCGAAGTGCATGGCTTTCTTCCTCAAGGGGAGGGTCCAGGCCAGGCCTCCGGGCTCAGCAGGGCAGGAGCGCAGGCGGGAGGCTGCAAAGAGCCGTCGGGAAGGACGCCGAAGGGGCTGACCTGGACGGTGGGTGTTCCCAGCTGTAGAGGCAGGGAAACTGAGGCAGGAGCAGAGAGGACCCTGTTACTGGACGGCCGGGCTCCGCCGCCTGGGGGGCCGGGTGCCAGAACCAGGCGCGGGGGCTGCCAGGCAGGTGTATCTCGTTGCAACAAGTGAAGGAGCCCGGGTCCCCTCCAGAGCTCTGCCCGGGGGCGGGAGGCTCAGCCACGGCTTAGACCGGCGGTTCCGTCCGTTCCAAGTGATTTCTTCTGCGCCTTAGGCTTCACTTCACAGGCTGGGTCCCTCTCCAGCGCCTCTGTCCACAGCCTGTCTGCAAAATCCCAGCTGCATTTTAACGTGGAGCAAGAGTAGGGTTTAGCCCTGACCGGTTTGGCTCAGTGGATAGAGCATCGGCCTGCGGACTGAAGGGTCCCGGGTTCGATTCCGGTCAAGGGCATGTACCTTGGTTGCGGGCACATCCCCAGTGGGGGGCGTGCAGGAGGCAGCTGACCGATGTTTCTCTCTCATGGATGTTTCTACTCTCTCTCGCTCTCTCCCCTCCTCTCTGAAATTAATAAAAACATGTTTTAAAAAATAGAAGTCTGTTCATATTATTACATTTGTTCCTCTTTTTCCCCCTCGTAACTCCCCTCCTCCCAGTTCCCGCCCCACCCTCCGCCCTCACTCCCCACCCACTGTCCTCATCCATAGATGCACGATTTTTGGACAGTCTTGTCCCACGGAGTTGCCTCATCCCCTCACTTCACCTTTTAGACCCTGTTCGTGCGGAGGGGACTTCAGAGCGGCCCCGGTTAGCTTCGACTTCTGCTTCTTTCTGTAAACTGGTTCCCAGCGCCGGAGGGTGTGAGCTGAAGAGCCCCTCTCCCGCCCTCCTCAGAGCCTCAGGCCCCTTGCCACTGCTCCCCTGGGGCCACCGTGGGCACCAGTTCACGGCGGATCTTTCCGCAAACATCCCACAGGTGCTCAGGGACGGAGGCCGAGTCCCGCCCTCTCTGCGCTCTCAAGTCCTCCCACTTCTCTTCCTCTTCTTGGTCGGCACCCCTAATCCAAGCCCCGGTCTTCACTGGCCTGGATCCCTGCTCCAGTCTCCTCCCTGGCCGCCTCTCTACTCACAGTGGCCAGAGCCATCTTTCTACGCTGAATGCTAACCCAGTCCCTCTGCAGCTCAAAGACCATCCATGGCTCCCCATTACCCCAGGATAAAGTACAAATTCTTTACCGTGGCATCTCTGGATCTTCCAGCTTCCTCTTGACCACCTGCCAGCCATGCCTATCTTTCGTGTTTTGGTGGGTAGCACAGTCCCTGCCTCTCACCTCATGGCTTCCTGCCTTGAAAGGCCCCAGCCCCCCCGCCCCTAC